TTATTTATTTATTGGTTTTTTGAGACAGGGTCTCACTATGTATTTGAGACCCACCTGGAACTCACTATGTAGCCCAGGCTGGTCTCGAACTCACAGCGATCCTCCTGCCTCAGCCTCCCGAGTGCTGGGATTACAGGCGTGCGCCACCACGCCCGGCTCTGATTTACACTTCAGACCGCCAAAATCCCAAAACCTGGCGGCCGTGTAAGGCAGTGTGCACACAGCGGGAGCTCTAACACACTGCCCCAGTGGGCGTGAAAATGGATCTCTCCGCTGTTCAGCAGCTTGGATTGTCTGTGGCACGGAAGCTCCGTGCCCTGTGGCCAGCAACTCCACTGCTAGGTGTACGGAAGGGAGCATCTTATCTGTGCGTATGTGAAAGGAGAAGAGGAATTGTTAACAGCAGCACATGTTTTGTTGAAGGGTTATAAATACTGGAATGGGAGTTTATCTATAGGGGATGTAAGAAGACATTAGGTTTTTATTAATGACTGAGCTCCCACAAGTGGGAGTGAATAAATTACAAACTACAGCCCCACGGACGAAACCCAGTTCACCACCTGTTTTTTGTCAGTAAAGTTTTATTGGAACAGTCACACCCCCTTGTTAGTGTCTAGGATGCGGTGGCTCTCGCACCACTGTGGCAGGGTCGAGTAGGGGCCACCTGAAACCGTATATTTACTCTGTGGACCTTTATAGAAGTTTCCGAGCCCTTAAGCTAGGGAAGCTCGTGTCGACATGAGTTGCCCATGCAAACCCAATGCTAAAGGACGAGGATTAAGTTACAGACAAATACCCGAAATATGCTCAGGGCCTCTTGTCCCTTCTCACTAGTGCAGGCAATGCCGTCCTGTGGAGCCTTATCTGACATTCTCAGGGCAGATTAAGGCTCTACTTTGAGCTACTATTAGCCCTGTGTTCTCCTCAGCACTGACCGTTTTCTAGTATCTTCCTGCAGGTCTGTGCCCTAGACAGACTTAAAACCCAAGGCAGGGATGTGTCTTGTTTATTTTATAGTCCCAGCCACTGGCACAGAATAGACACAGAATAAATGAGCTAGCCATCTACCACTGAGCTTCCTAGCAGCCAAGGCTAAAAGGGAAACAAGATATTCTATAGATATGTTGTGCCTAAATTAAACAAATACACACCCATTGTTTGAGATAACGGTCATTTTTCTGGTTACTGAGGTGTTGGGGAAGTTTGTATTATGGGTCATTAAAAGGGCCCTAAGTAATATGGCAAAATATGGCTCCAGTAACATTCACACTGGGGCTCTGTAGGAAGTGTTTTGGTGGTGCTGTCTCAGACCGTGAGCGTGATGTCAATTCCATAAAAACTAATTACACTGCAGGTCAAAGCAGTGCTTTCTCCGGGAAGCATATTTGCAGGTCTGCAGGTTAGGGTTTCTTCCTCTGCCTAAGTTGTCCTCTCTCTCCCCTCCCTCCTTCCTCTTCCTTCTTGTTAAGCTTAATGCTAACGTCTAATGTGCAAGTAGGGACACATGTCGTGTGTGTGTGTGTGTGTGTGTGTGTGTGTGTGTGTGTGTGTGTGTGTGTGTAGCTTGATGAATTGTTTACCAGGGATACACACACACATCATTCTGGCCAGCATCAGACAGAGACAGAGCCTCCCTGGCTTCTCCAAAGCCTCCTCTGGTTTCCTTTCAGTGACTGCTGTCTGAGGATAACCTCCAAGCTGACCTCTCACAGCGGAGGATAGTTTTCCTGCCCCGCCCTTTGACTTTACTGAGTATACACAGTGCGTGTGGTGCCATTCGTTTGACTCTGGGTCTGCGACGTGCATCCGTCTTCGTGCTGTGGGCGGTTGTGGGGCATCCGTCCCCACTGCTGTCTGGTACCCCGCCGTGTAAACACGCTGGTGCTCATCCACTCCACACTCTGGATGTCTTCTTCCCTCCCGCTTTTCCTTAGGGTCCTCTTTATGCGTTCGTCTTAAGCTTGGAGCCTCCGTGTCTACGCCTGCTGCAGACACTCTTGTGCACGTGTTGTGTGGGGCTGTGCCCGGGAGTGGAACTGCTGGCTGTGAAGCCATCACCGTGCTCAGGGTTAGGAGAGGCGGCCTAGGTTTGCTGCAGTGAGCGTGTCCGTTCCTGCTCCGGCGGGGTGGGTGAGCATTCCAGTTTCTCCATGGCGTCAGCACCGGGTACTGCTCTGCTCCTTCACGGAGCAGCTCTGGCGCGGGTACAGGCAGACCGCAGTCGGCATGGGGGCCCCTTTCACATGCTTTTGGCTGTTTGTTATATTCTTTGGCAAAATGGTCTTTCAGTCTTTTACCTCCTTTTCTATCTTCTTGCTGATTTGCAGCCATTCTTTATATGCTCTGTGTACAAGTTCTCTGCTTGCCCGTATGCGTTGTAGGTCTCTCTCGCCGCCCTATTCGGCCTGTCTCTCTGGAAGCAGTAATGTTAATTTTATAAGCCCTTCAGCATCTGCAGGCTGAGTGGGTGGTCAGAGGGCTGTGGAATTGTAACCGACAGTTGCAGTAGCTTCACATTTTTTGTTTCATTCTGTATTTTATCAGTCTTCAAATGCATATTGTTTACCTTTCTGAAATTGGGTTTATCTTTGTGATCATTGATATTTTACACTTATAACTGGCAGCACTTTCTTTTCTAACATTCTGCATCGCTGCACCATATAATCCATGGCAGCTAAGATTTGGAGGATGTAGGATACTGGTCCCATGGAAGCCTTCATTTGAAGAAAGGGCTCTAATCTCCCTGGGGGGGAATTACGACAAAGTTTATATTCATTGCTTTTACACCTCAGAGACCCTCAGTCGTCCAAGGAACTATTTTTTTTTTTTTTTTTTTTTTTTG